GCTCATAAATTTAATAGGTCACAGCCCTAGATCACATGTTAATTTTACATCTCTTCAAATTTCTGATAAAAATTTTGATCCTCAATCACAATTATTCTCAAATTATAGAAATTAGAATGGTGCTGACGGCCATACATTTAGAAAAAAAAAATAGAAAAAAAAAATAAAGTAAAGAAAAATGGTGCCCTGCCGACGGCAATGCGTGTGTTGGGACTCTAAACAGTAATAAGTTGAATAATCAAATTTCTCCTCTGTAAAAAAAAAATAAAATAATATAATTAGGTATGAAAATATCACGTTCTGTTCTGTGTGCTACTTAAAGGCGGGCGGACTTTGACCTCGTGGAAAAGAATTTCAATACACCCCATGTTTTGGAATTTTTCTCCTTCTTAACTTGTAACATACTTCCATTGAATTTTTAGTCGGCTGTGGTTGGAGATCTACCAAATTGTGGTTAATCCAAAATCCCCACTATTAATGTAGAGCTGTAAATGAGCCAAAACTCGAGCTTAAGGTGCTCAAGTTCAAGTTCGAGTTAAGTAAATGAGCCTGAAATCTAGTTCGAGCTTGGCTCATTAAGGCTTTGATCTCGAGCTTTAACAAACCGAATTATAAAAAGTTATATAAAAATTCTATTTTCGAGTTTTAACAAGCCTTATCGAGCAGAGTCGAGCTCGGTTCGTTAGCCAAACGAGCTTTGAATGAGCTCGAACGCGTCTCGTTAAGACCTCAAACGCGAACCGAATTCGAGCCTTAACGTGTTGAGCTGAGCCATACTCGTCGGGCACTAGTTCCATGACCAAAAGAAAAAAAAAAGAGAGAAAAAATGAAGAAGCTAATTTTCAAATAGCTTAAAAGTTTAGGTAGTGTACATTTTTTCAAAGAATGTTCGATTTTTACATATAAACACAAGGGAGATTTTACGGTCCCGTTACAGAACAATTTCGTCGGAATTTATAATCGTTAGATCAATTATCCACGACAGTTATATGATGATCTAACGGTTACAAATCCCGACAAAATGGTTCTGTAATAGTATTGTACCATTTCCCTAAATGCATACTTTCAAATATAAAAATTACACTCTAAAATATATTAAAAACAAATGAATGACATTAGTAAG